ATATTATTAACATTAATATTTTATTTTTTATTAAAAAATTAATACTTTTTTTTATGTTCACAGGCAAATTTGCCTGCTCTACAGTTTAAGGGATAGCAAAATTCATTATAATAGGTATCTCATATTATAAAATTGATTTATAATTGATCAAATTCATAATATAATATAGTAAAAATTTTTTAATTAAAAAGGCTAAATCTGTTTCTAATAATTTAAATTTCATAATTTAGTTCACTTGAAGCCTATATCTGATGGTATTAATTTGACAATTTTTTGACCAATAAGTCATATTTTAATAATCTTTATACTAAATTTCATTTTAAGATTTTATAAGTAACATCATTTTTTTTTACATAATAATAAAAAATTTTTTCATCTCCTTTAGATAATTAATCTTTAACATTATTAGAAAATTAATTCAAATTTGCTTATAAATGCTACCTCAAAAATTGACTTTAAATTTGCTTAAGAATTCTTATGATACATACTGTATAATTAAAAATTTATTAATTTTTAAAGTTATTTCTACTTCCTATAATCCAATTTTAATGAATTTTAACTTATTTTAAAGTTTTATTAGAGTATTTTATAACCATTTAAATCATATAATTGCTAGAATTTATAGCTTAAATAATTTGATTTTGAATACTTATAAATAATGCTATTTTTTATATATTAATATATAATTTTCTCACTTTCTTAAGTTTCTTTAGGTTTTCAGATAGTAAAATTTAGTGTTTAACTTTATTAATTTTTAGACAGTTTTTTTTTATTTCAATTCTAATATTCATACCTACTTGAGTTTCTTTCATAATAAATTTCAAAATAATTGCTTTTTGTATTTCACAAAATTTTCTGAATCTAGTGATTGGTTTTAACAAATCTAACTTGTTTAAAAATTAAAAACTTACTGCATTTGCTTGTTAAAGATTGATAGAAATTAGTTCAGTAGAGGTTGAGATATTCACATTCAAAGTTCATTACAGCAAATTAAAACTTTACATTTTTTTTTTTTTTTTTACAAACTTTCAAAGCTTTTCAGTTTTTTGTAATCCAATTTTGATGTTAAATATAATGATAATTAATAATTTTTTTATACTTTTAGATGAATTATCATGTCTTTTTTGTAATTAACCTTTACCTAATCCTTTATCAAAAACTTATTTGAATATTTAAAAGTAATGCAAAAAAGTAAATTTCATATTTATTTTATTTCTATAATAATAATATTGATTATTTGATTTCTTTAGAAAGATATTAGAAGTCAATTGTATAGAGTTTTGTTTTATAAATTATGCAGAAACCAAAATTATTCCATTGGGTATAAAAGCAAATTATCCTACAAATATCAATTTTGAAATTTTATCAAACCGGGTTAGTAATATTTAAGATGATTTGTTAGACGTTATTAATTGTAAATTTGTAAGTTGGTTTCGCGATTTGTCATTATCTGTTTATAATGAAATTGGATTTTGAAAAGAAAATACACCGATGATGATAATGAAAAGAAGTGAAGAATTAAAAGAATTAATTTATAAATATTTTTTTTATAATATGTTTTAATGGTTCTAAAGGTGAAATAATCATCGCGGAGTTTTGTCAAATTTGTTTTTAAAAACAAATGTTTTAACATTCGAAATGAGCAAATCTCTAAAGCCAATTGATCATTTACATGAATATTAATTCCAGAGGTAATTATTAGACTAATAGTTAAGATCTTAATGGAAAATTATCATTAGAAAAAGAGAAATTATGAAAGACACTGAAACTGCTGCGGTGAGAACATAAAACAATTTTTGCAAACTTAAGTTTCGTATTACAGTATAACAATTAGTTAATCTTTATATACATATGCACCAAAATCTGGTTTATGTCAAATTTTCACTAATTCAAAGGGAACATCTGGAATGTCAATTAAGGCCATCTATAAATGGAATGGATGAGAGTATGAGAACAAACATACAACCCTTTTAGATGGTCACGCAATATTAAGTAAATTATCGATTTGTTCTTAATACAAATTCTAACCAACCATTTACGATAATTACAGTAGACCTTTACGAATGGCTTGCTTCCTTTGAACGAGCAGCCACAGCTAATCAATGGAATAATAATAGAAAAATAGCTATTGCTGCAGGATATTTAAGAGATGCTGCTGCCAAATGGTATGATGAAAATCAACTTAACTTTCAAAATTGAAATCTAGTATACATTTATGTTTTGTGACACAAAATTACCACGCGTCTTGTTATAAAATGTATAAAGATATCAAATGACAACATTACCAAGTGAAGTTTATTAAGAGAGAGAGAGAGAAAAAAAAAAAAAAAAAAAAAAAAAAAAAACGAATAAAAAGATTAAGATATTATTTTATATATTGTCCTTAATAACTGGTCTATTATCAAAGGTACTAATTTCTAATCATAAAAGATTTTGGTAATATTGTGTGTATACAGTAGTTCTCGCTAACAAAATATCTCAACAATTATAAGATATTTTTTTCTCTATCCTACTTTCTCTAATAACCACCAGCACCAGGAGCATTTTCATCTTTTTTCAAACTCAAAAGCATCTCTTTGAATCTGCTCACATCCTTGGTGTGTTTATTAGTTGTCTTACTTTGAGCAGTTGAAAGATCGACCTGTTTACAGATACGCTGCCAAGATGTACCAGAAGTAAGATCATCTCTTTCACGCAAGAACTCTTCCTCATCTTGCCTTATAAATATAAACTACATATTAAACAAAACCTTTCACAATTTAAATAAAATCAGCATAAAATAAAATAATATTACTTGTTTTGTTCATGTGTACGACCCTTCTTTTCATTATATTCTTCGTAAAATTTGTCGATTGCATCACGTGCAATAGACAGTGTTTCTCGCTTTTTTGCTTCGGATGTTTCGTCGCGCTGGGCAATAATCTCCCTTTGTTGCTCTCTCCATTGTCTATTTATCATTTAAATAATTTATTATAGGATGTGAAATAAACATCAAAGTAATAATTACTATTAAATGTACCGAATAATTTCTGGTTCTTCCTCTTCAATATTATCCGATGATAATGAAAGTGGAATATCGCCATTGCTATTGTTGTACAATACCTACGGGGAAAATATATTAATTTATGAAAAATTCCATGTAACAATTCTTAACTGGTAAGTAAATGATTATAAAATAAAATAATCTATAATATAAATTCATCACAACTTACAAATCCTCACCTGAGTACTACTCTCGATCTCTACTGGTGGGAACTCTGAATGAAAAGCGTCATAATCAGAAACTGAATTAACATTAGAGGAGTTGCTGACAGGAGGATTCAATGCGTTGCTTGTCGATGTTGAGGTAATATCGGGGAATCCTTCAAGTTCATTGTTTGTTGTAGATATAATAGTATGATTGGTAGTGTTTGAGAATAAAGCTGCATCCTCGCCTAGGACCGCTTGTTCTCTTGCTAAAAAGTCAGCAGTGGGGTCAGATTCCAAGTTTGTATTTGAAGAAGGGGGAAAATCTTCAAGAGGTGGGAAATCTGAGTCGAAATTCGACATTGTATAACTGAAAGTTTTAAAATAATAATAATAAAAAAATAGCTTGTTAAAGGTAAAGCCCGGATAAAGTTCTTACGATCTTATATAATGTAGAAATGCTCGTGGAAATTGACGTGATAAAATTCAGCAATGTTAAAGTTCTATTGTGTGAACATTCCTAAATCCACTTGGTTTAATTCAATAATAAGTGAGTTTGAGAAGTTCGCAAGCTCGAATGACTGCGATTCATAATAAAACTTACCCAATTGCAATTGTGGCAGAATATCAATCTTATTGTAAATTAAAAAATTCAGCTGTTGAATTTCATTAAAAATAACGCCCAATTAGATTCACGGAGTACAAAACCCTATTACGTATTTTATCTGCTATCTGAATATCGCGCTTTTACTCAAAAAAAAATCTACAATTCAAAATGGTTCTTGAGGCTACCTTGCTAGTGTAAGTTTATTGCCCATTAAATTACCTACAAGTTGCACCTTATTTTAACACTGGAACTAAGTGTTTTTTTTTTTTGGTAGTTTGGATAATTCGGAATGGATGCGTAATGGTGACTATACACCAACACGTTTAGAAGCACAAAAAGATGCAGTTAATCTCATTTTTGGATCAAAAACAAATTCTAATCCGGAGAATACTGTAGGCCTACTTACCATGGCCGGTAAAGGGTATGTGCAAGTAGAACAGTTTGTTTTTAAACAAACGAAATAAATTGATAAAAAGTTATTCTGTTCAATAGTCCCGAAGTACACGTTACTTTAACATCAGATATAGGTAAAATTCTTACTGCATTACATAACATAAAAATTGGTGGAAAAGCAAATTTGACGACTGGGATACAAATTGCGCAGGTGATATTTTGTTATTTAAAATTGACGAGATTTAATAACGTTTAATCTAACAAGATATAAATTTCCTTCAAAGCTTGCTCTCAAACACAGGCAGAACAAGAATCAACGACAAAGAATTGTAGTATTTGTAGGTAGTCCTATCGAAACCGATGAGAAAACCTTGGTAAAATTAGCTAAAAAGATGAAAAAGAATAGTGTAGCTGTGGATATCATCAATTTTGGAGAGGAAGCTGAAAATACTGCGAAATTAGAAGCTTTTATATCAGCAGTGAATAGCGGAGATAACAGGCAAATTTTCTGGTTTTTTATAATATGTGTACCTATAATTTAACTTATAGTTATTAATTTCATCTATTCTAATATATTTAGTCATCTTGTATCAATACCACCTGGTCCGCATATCCTTAGTGAAATCTTAATATCATCCCCCATAATAGCAGGCGAAGATGGTGTTCCTGCTGGATTTGCAGCTGGTGGTGGGGGCAACTTTGAGTTTGGAGTCGACCCTTACCTTGAACCTGAATTGGCGTTGGTAATGCTCGCGTTCGATACCAAAATTTTATCAAATATTTATTTTTTTTATTTTTCATTAATCGCGGTAGTTTATTTACTATAAACATTTTAGGCTTTACGTATTTCACTTGATGAAGAAAAGGCAAGACAGGAGGCAGAAGCAGCTAAAGCTGCAGGTTCTGCAAATGCCGCTCAAGAAACACAACCAACTTCAATGGATGTTGATAAAGCTGTTGGGGGAGGCGATCATCAAAATGATAAAACTGAAGAAGACATGCTGGCTCAAGCACTAGCTATGTCTTCTACGGGCGACTCTCGTGTATGTATTATGAACTATGAAATCTTTTTGTTTTTAAAAATCTAATCATTATTTGTTTATAAGGAAGGAGATGTTCAAATGGAAGAGCTTACCGAAGACGAGCAATTCGCTCGAGCGATTCAAATGTCAATGGAAGGAAATTCCGTAAGAAAAATAAATGTTATAGTATTTTTTTTTTTTTTTACTATTTTTTAAGTAGATTTATTTATCAAAATTTTGTATTATTCTTAGGGAATTCATAATCAAGAATTTATGAATGCGGTTCTTCAATCTCTTCCAGGAGTAGATTTATCTGATCCACAGATTCAAAATGCTCTCCAAGGGGTTTCCGGAGATAATGGAGATAATGAAAATAATAAGGATAATAATAAAAAGGATGACGAGAAGAAAAAATAAAAAATAATTTAAGAAAAATTATGTTCTATTAAAGAAGTTAAATTTTAATGATTTTATTTTTTTTTTTGTTTTTTTTGTTTTTTTTTTTTTTTTGCAATAATTAGATAGTAAAAGGTTTATACAAATAAATGGTTTTAATTATAAATTGAATGAAAATTATGCAATACATAATTTAAACATATTTGAAATAAGAAAACAATTATATTTATTTATTAAAATATTATTTGTTATTTTAACTTTATAATATTAATATGATTCAATAATTATTTTAATATTTAAATCATTAATATAAAATATAAAGTTTATTATAATTATCATTTATATAATTAAATATACTTATAATTATAACAAAAATATTTTATTTAACTTTTTAATTATAATTTAATTTTTACTAATTATTAATAATGAAAGTTTAAAAAATTATTTAATTATTTTAAATTTATTTATAGAATAAATTTAAATTATGCATTATGTATTTAATATATCTATACTTAATATATGCATCATACTAAAATCAAGTTAATAAAGGACTCAGATAATTTATTATATTAAAATTAGCAGAAACTAATAAATTAAACAAAATTAATAGAATTGATAAAACTGACATAGTATTATTATTATTTTTATGAGTATATAAATACCTTAGAAAAAACAGATCGAAATATTGAATATAATTTACATTTAATAATAATAATAAATAAAGATATAGTCAACTCTTAATATAGTAAACTCTTGATATAACAAATTTTTTGAATAAATATAATAAAATACTCTTATTATAGCAAATTAGCCAATTAAATCTTCACTATAGCCTTATAGCGAAATTGAGATCTAAGGCATAGAGTTCATTATAACAAGAGTTAACTATATTATTTATAAATATAAAATTATATTTAATTTTATTCTTATTAACTAAATGAACCTCTTAATTAATATTGTATCATGATGATTAGATTTAAGTTATAGTTATTGTTTTCTTAATTTTAAATCATAGTTAACTTATTTAATAGATAAAGTAACATTAACAATATTATTATTAAATTCATTTTTAGTTATCTTAATATTTAAGTCAAAGGATTATAATAATTAATTTTATTCATTAAAGTTTACATCCTTAGAAAATTCTTTAAGTCTTATAGGTATCTATTATATTTAAATCATCTTAGCAATTTATCATATTTTAGAATTTAAAATTTATTTAATGATAAACTCAATAGTAAGTTAATATAAAGAATTATAACAAATCTTAGATTGTTAAAGAAAAAAGTAATTTATTTAGATTTAAATTGATTTCTTTATTAAACTTAAAACTCATAATAAAATTATAAAAATTTAAAAACTTATAAAAAAGTTAATTTATAATTTAAATAAAAAGCTATTCTATTTATACAAAATTAATTTGCTACAGCTAACTATTTTGTTATGTTATAAACTAATTATATTTGTAAACTTTAGTTATAATATAATAATAAAATAAAATAAAATATAAATATAAAATATAAGATAAATAATAAAAATAATAAAAACATTTAAAAATCAAAAATTATTTATTATTATAAGTATAATAAAAATTTATAATATCAGAAAAATTAGATGAATTTAATTAATTAAATAAATTATGCAAATTCTTAATATTTTTAATTTTTCTAATGTAGTATTTATTGATAATTACTACATATTATTATTTGATAATTTTTAATAATATTTTCAGTATTTATAGTGATATTTATTTTTAATACTAATAACATTTATTATTATCTTTTTATCCTTTTTTATCCTCTTCTATTAAATAATTAGCAAATTCTTTTTTTTTTTATATTATATATATGTATACTTTCATAATACTATTAATCAAAATCTATATAATTAATTCTTAAAGTTCTATTTAAAAATTAATATTTTTTTAAGAATTATAAAACATTTCTTAAAAACTATATAGCAATATAAAAATTATTGATTAAATCTTAATATCTGTATTTGTAATAAAATCTGACACTCTCTATATAAAATAAGATTATAAAGATTTAGCTAATACAAATTAGCTATATTATCCTTAAACTGTAGAGGTTTACAAGCAAATTTGCTTGCTTATTTACTATAAATTTCCTTTTGATTTACTTTTATTAAAAATTAAAATTTTTAAAAAATTTTTTTTTTAAATTAATTTTATAAATATATATAATATTATAGTAAATTTTAGTTTTTAATTATATAATAAAT